AGGGTTTAGGGTTTAGGGTGGTCGGCCTTGGGGTATCTTGAGGCCTCAACCCCTTCAACCCTCAACCCTAGCGGCCTCAACCCTGGCACTGAGCATCACCAAGCTTTCTGCAGTTAAGCTGATGCCAATGAGAATCGAAAGGCCCTGAAGGAAATATGAACAGTAGAGGGTCTTTAAGGGGCTTCAAGGTGGTTTCGACATGCAGGTCTCTGACTAAACATCACAGAAAGGAATCCTATCAATTAATTATTTAGGGTTTAGGGTTTCTGAATCCCAAACATTAGAGAGGAATCTGCAGAACCCTATCGGTTAGCTCGGCTGCAAAGCTACCGTGTCTCCTGTCGCCGATCTGCTGGTCGCCTCTGGCGCCTTCACAAAAACGTGGCGGCGGCCTAAACCCTAAACCCTAAACCCTAAACCCTAAACCCTAAGCCCTGAGCCCTAAGCCCTAAACCCTAAACCCTAAACCCTAAGCCCTGAGCCCTAAACCCTAAACACTCCTTTAAGAGGGACTCCAGGGCCCAGGGTAAAAGGGCGTAGGGCTTCTGGCTTCGGACTCCATTCAGGGTTAAGGCTCAGTGGCGCCAAACCCTAAACCCTAAAACCCTAAACCCTAAACCCTAAACCCTAAACCCTAAACCCTAAAACCCTAAACCGTGGGATCAGGGTCGGAGGGAGGGAACCAGGCTCAGGTAGGAGCAGGCTCCGTGTTCTGACATTGAAACGAGAAGTGACTGTAGGTTCGAGAACAGCGCTGCCTGAAAGTCTAATGTAGTAGGGTTTAGGGTGTAAAATTCAGAGTTTAGGGGCCATAAGAATTAGAGTAGAGTTTGGGGGCTCTTTGTTATTTTCCCCAAACCCTAATTCAATTAATAAGGCCGCTATATTAGTTGAACCCTAAACGACAAAACCCGGAACCCTAAATGCTAAACCGACTAAGCCCTAAACCCTGATACCCTGAACCCTAAGCCCTGCACAAAGCACACTGTGAGTTCGAGGTTGTGGCAGCACTTTACCGGCTCTCGTCTTCCTTGTCTGAGTTCCCAGCTTGAGTGACCCCAAACCCTAGACTCCAGAACCCTAAACCCTGAAACCTAAACCCTAAACCCTAAACCCTAAACCCTAAACCCTAAAGCCTAAACCCAGACCCTAAAGCCTAAACCCTAAACCCTAGACTCTAAACCATCAACCCCCCCAAACTGCAGCTCCAAGATCCACCCCCAACCCTACCTAAATCCGAAACCCTAAGCCCTAAATCCGAAACCCTAAACCCTAAAGCCCTAAACCCTAAATCCGAAACCCTAAACCCTAAAGCCCTAAACCCTACATCCGAAACCCTAAACCCTAAAGCCCTAAACCCTAAATCCT